TGTTTCCCCCACACGTTCAAATCTATGTTTATCAATAAATACAACCGTTGAGGTGTGGCGGAAAAGTGAAACAGCAGAAAAGTTTTGTTTAACAAAGCATCCCAACTGCTTGTCCTTAAAAAAAGGTCAAAATGGCAGTGTTACCCATCTCAGAAAACAGAAAGCAAGGCTCACCGTTCCCTTTGACTACGCACAAACAAGGGCTATAGTACGTCACTGTACTTCTCTTATATTCTCTTTTAACCTTTAATTTTATAGAAATCTGCTTCACCCGGGGGACCAAGACTGATTTGCTGATTTATAAGAAAGTGAGTTTCACAACTACCAGTTGAGAGCAGCTAATAAATTTAGTGGAAATGTTTGCGAGGAAGTGCCTGGAAATGGTATCAATGTAAAGTGGATGCAGAAATCAACAGGTATATTTAGATCAACAGTCCTACTGAATAAGACCTGAAAACTCTGGCAAAAAATGAGCGCTGCACACAACATGCGATGTTTTTTATTCCTTTCATGGATTTTATCCCCGTTCTATGAGTCTTTTGGTATATTTCGGAACCTTCACATAATTCAGTCGAGCATTATACGAGTTAAGCATCTTTTGTAAAAATTGATATGCAGTGCTTCCACCGATTAACTGAATCCCAATTTCTGAAAATGAACGAACTCCCGCCGACTTGTTTTATAGGAGCCAGTGGTACAGAATATCCCAAAATTATCCGTGCTCAGCTTTTTTTGTTAGCAACTTATTTCGAAAAAAAACTGTTTGTTTCAGTTAAAAAATCAACAACACGGAGCTGAGATTAAGCATTGGTAAGTTTTACAAAGTGAACAACACCTGGTAGTAACATCTAGCAGCACTGCTTACAATAAATCTACACTTCAGCAGAGATGAGCTGACAACGTAAAAAGCTGACAAATTTGCAAAATCGCGGTCAGAAGAAATCCTAACAAAACCACATGAACAAGTTGATTCACTTGTACGCGGAACAAAAGCAACAAGTGAAAGATGTTTCACAAAAATGAGAGACAAAAGAGATGAAAGAAACATGAGGTTCATGAAAGAATACACAAAATGCGATTAGTTTAGCAATGGGTACGCAGAAAAAGTTTTCGATATCATACTGTTCAGAATGAGACTTCAAAAAAAAAAAAAAAACCCCAAAAAGCTAGAAATCTGGTCAGGGCGAGCAAATTATCGACTGAATCAACAAGAATTCACTCGGTTAGTTAACAGAATCATGCATTGAAACGAAAAAAAAAAACATCAACAAATCTTCGCTCTGGAGCAAAATTCACAATAGTTTTGCAATCGAATGAATCACAAACAAAACTGCGTGATTTATGGGCAGAAAAATGCTATTTTTTTTGCAGTGTACTTTTCCAGTTTATGCTTCAGATCACAGTGATTTATGCCTAAAGCAGGCAGATCGCAGGATGAAGTTCGCATCATTCAAGTCAATGTGCTTTCCTGAATCTGTTTCTTTCTAAGTGGCTTGAGAAGAATCGCTCTGCAAAAATGGCAAATACGTATCAACAATACACTCTGACTTACAACATAAACTTTATTTGCTGATCATCAAAACTATATTAATTTACTTAAGTGTTACCACGAGAAAGTAAGCGACCACTCGGACAGTCACCGAAGAGCTAATGCATATGCACCAAACAGGAGGTGGGTACTAGATGACAGTGTGTGGCTGAAGATAGGACGGCTTGACAGCACTGGGTCCGCCTGCTGGAGTATTTCGGAATACCACTAACAACGAATTCCGGCACTGTCCGTCCAGGCTTTTGGCATTTTTAAAATCTTCATCATTTATGACAAACGTCTATATTTGAAGACGTGGGCAGTCATGTGGCAAAAATGAAAAATGATATACAATAGCTTACTGAATGGTAATGACGTAGCGAAGAGCGGGCGCTGAAAAAGCTACGAGGAAAATGCATAAATCTATCGGAACGCTTTAAGGAATAACAGGAACCAAACTATATGGAAGCACCACTAGCTAAACCACTGGTGCAATGGGAGGCTATTGAAAAATAACTGCTCAGTGTGCCAAAGTATAACATAAAAATCTGAACGTAACTTTAGACGGTGCATACCTGGCTTAATTCTGACATCGAAGCAATGGATGTGACACGGGCAGAAGAAAGTGAACGCCGTGAAAGACCACTGAAACAGTTTTATTTTTTTTCAATTAAAAGTTTTAGCACAGGCAAAATAAAACAGGCTGATAAGCCGAATTTGATCAACTCGTAAAGAATCACAGACCTTGTTTTTGATCCTTTGTTCATAAAATATTTGCTACACGCTGCGCTGCTGCCAACTGTTATCGTTTTGTTAACTGCAGGCGCACCGGCAACAACATTCACGTCGGTGTCAACATCAAAAATAGAACGAGCTTTTTTAGGAGGCACTTCCTCCGCCACAGTCGCAAATGCTTCAGTCGATGCTGGAAAAGACACGAAACTTTGAATCCCAAGTTATTTTTGGATCTCATTATCTGGATACTAGAAGATTCTACATGCTTCCTGCAATTCCAAGACATTTTTTTTTCCGTGAAAAATTTCCAAATCTGTAAAATCAAAATTTTAAGCCCAAAAAAAAAATTACCAAGTGGACACGTTGAAGGAATTTTTGGCGATGCATCTGCAGTACGAACGAACTGTTTGAGCAACTGATCACAATTCCAGTTCTGACGAGCACCATTGCCTTTTTTAA